GTCAATTTTCCCGATGAAGGCTTTATTTGGGGGCTGTACATACAGGGGGAAAGGATTTCTATTTTTCAACAGCAAAATTTGATGTTTTTGAATCTACTTTTTCTGTTGGAAAATGACAGGATGGAAAATCCACAGCTATCTCTACTTATAACACATCATGGTTAGGTGTGTGTGCATAGCACTTAACACAGCATAAAACATAACATAGCACATAACACATCCAGGTGGGTGTGCATATGGCATGGGCGCAAAAAGTAAGTTTTAGAGACAAAGTTTGAGGACACAGAAACTATTGGAAAAGGAGGGTTAAATAGCATTCAGATCAGATGGTACAAAGAAAGCTGCGTTTTCTTCATCTCGGGAAAGGTTCACATACAAAAGCCAGTTTGCAGGTAACACTGAAAACACTTGGAGGTCCCTTCATTTATTATTGGGTACAGGGAGTCCTGGTCCAAAAAAAAAAAAAAGCAAAAAAACCCCAAAAAACACAAAATAATTTATGCTGGGGAAACAATATCCAGCCGTCAGCAGAGATAAAGTCAAAACCCAGATGATGTTTCTGAAAGAAGTACAACTGGTCAGACATGCTACACACTTCCCCCCCCCAACACCCCCCTGCCCCGCTCCATCTGAAGATAACACTTCTTCAAAATTTTCTGGGAGCATGAAGATTTCAACAACAACAACAGCACCAACAGAGTTCCCCATATGCTGCGTTGTTTACTTTGGAGGGAAATTGTTGACTGATTTTCATTTTGCCACATGTGAGATAAAACACTCTACTATCATTATATTCAATAAAATCTTTTAATATTCCAAGTTTCCTGTGTGATTCAGAAGGGAACTAAATTTCTAAATTCCAAGCTTTCCTACTGGGGGGTGGAAAATGGATGTTTCTGGCTGGGTTTAGCCGCAGGTTGGTGGCAGATTGGCCTTTCAGAAGCAAGGTGCCTTGGGCAGCAACAGAAAGAGATGCCCAGCCCTTGGCCAAAATAGACTTAAATATTGCCCAAACCCAGGGGAGGAAATTTTTAACAGCTCATCTAAAAAGGCCAAATTATTTGCCAAAGGCTCCATCAGTATCACAGTTAATGACGTTGTTCCTCGTGGTAAACAGGGGGAATTGCCTGAAATGGGTCAGTTATCATCCTGGGCACCGCTGGCCAAGTCTGACCTCTCCACCTCACACCTGGGTGTAATTTCCAGCAGCCCAGCCGCTGTTTCCAGTGAAATCAAAGCCGATACAGCCGTTGACTTCTAAGATCTCTGATAGGGAGATCTCAGCTGTGGTTACCAGCTGGGCTCTGCAAGTGTCATTTTCCAAAAAACCCATCTGCCACATTGAGGCTCCAGTAGCCAAGAATCTGCTACTTACTACCACAAAACTGCTCCAGATTTTCACAGGGGTAACTACTATCATTTACATTTTGGGAGGGACAGAGAAGGTGGATTTTAGAAACTGTTACTTTCAGTGTTGAAAGGAAATTTTCATCTTCCTGCACTGGTCCAACCCTGCGTTTTTCTCTGCTGCTCTCTTATTTTGCTACTTCATTTTTAGATAGGTGCCCTTACCTCTCTGAGACTACGGGCCATCTCATAGCTTTTACCTTTCTCAACGTTTTGCATCTGTTTTATGTGTCTAACTGCTGCCTTTGCCTTCAGCCCTGGCTTCCCTTTTTTCATATTCAAGCTTAGAGGCAGAGACAACCCAGCTGAGATTCACATCTCCATGGATGTTAGATGTCTCCAGGGTTGATGTCTACACTGGAGCTAGTGGTCTGGATTCCTTTAGCATCAATGGGGAGAAATGAATGACTAAAGCATGGTTTATCTGACCTACTCAAGGCATCTGAACTTAGTGGCAGGTAATTCCTGCATCGCAAGCATCTCTTTCTCTCAATTAACAACCGATGAAGAAGTCAGCGTCAGGAGACATGAGACCTATACTGTATCACTGAAATCAGTTTTTAAAATGCTCTGACTGTGCCTTTTCTTTGGGAGGATCATGTACCTTCACAGGTGCCTTTCTAGACCCCTTGGCTTAAATGATTTACAAGCACCTGCCTTCCCAGGTGATGCCACTAACTTGCATCTACCTGGTGGTGAATTTTGGCAAGGTCTGGAAAATCCACCCACAATTATTGCCAAGGTATCTGGTGTGAGTTTTCTCCAAGAGGCCGTGTGAAACCTAAACAACCATCAACAACCCTATTTGAAGAGTACAGTCATCTACATGCAGGGAGGTAAGCTGCAGAATGAAGGTTTGTTGGTAGAGAAGGGGATTTATCATGATGGATGAAGGGCATTTTTAACTCGAGAGGCAGCTGGTTTCCCTGCAGCCAGATGGCCACAGGGTCTAGGCCAAACTTCACATCTTGACCGTGCTCCAGTGTGATGATTACGACTGACTGAACTCGGAGTTTGGCCACCGTGAGAATATTAAACACCCCAGACTGATTTCTAAAGATTATTGGACTACTGTAGTACCCAGCTCAACATCTCACCACTGAGTTTGGAAAAAACGGGAAGCAGAAATCAATAGGTTTAAAACAAAGGGAGTCGTAAGAAGTGCCCTCTAAGAATGAGACACTAAGCTGTTAAAACTGGACCAGGATGGACATGCTGGAGCCCACCTAACATACATGGACATTGTAAAATGTACCAAATCTGAGCTGAGACCTGGATTGTGATTTTAGAAATGTGAGTTTTATCAATAAAAGCACTGGCTACAAACATCTCAAGCCCTTCTCATTCTCAAAATTTGCCCTGAAATTGTGATGTTTGAGGCACCTCTATTATTTCATCATAGAGTTCCCCTTATGCTAAACATCTCCAAAACAGATGCATGAAAACCTGTTAGTAGCAACCTTTAGGTTATATTAGTAAGACAGCTGAGCATGGCGGCATCTTAGGAACTTGACGTCACGGAAATCCCTGTTTTGGGGAAGGGCAGGAGGAAGAAGGGGCACCAGGTCTATCCGAAGGGGCAGGATGAAGGTTTGGTACCTATCTGCTCTGGTCATCTGGTATTAATCTGCAGCCAGGTGTCTGTCAAAACTTCCAAATTGTATTCTAGAGACAGCTGAGAGAGATCATGCATGAAAAGGAAATCAGCTCTGAAAATCAATCCTGTGCATATGATACAGCTGAGCACCCAAACCCCACAGCAACAAAAAATTGCTCCCTTTCCTGCAAAAAGGGAGACCTTATGCCCATGTATAAAATGTATTTTAAGAGCTAAATACAGGGATGTGATGAACCGAGTTAGCACAGAAAAGAAGGACAAGAGGAAATAAATACAAGTAAACCCCATCTGAATTAATTATGCTGACATGGTAAGCTACGAGGGTGACCGAGGTACATAAAACCTCTTAGGAATGAGTAGTCCTACTAACACCCAGAGCAACGTCTCTGGCCCGTGATGCCTGCAAGCAGCTGATACGAATTGCACGACACAGCTCCTCGATGCATCCCCGTCCAGGGCTCATCCGTGAAGGAAGGATCTTCATCTGCACTTCGTTAGTAGTTTGTAGACTGCTAAATGAGCAACAGACCCCAGCATGAATACGCATTGTCTGAGCTCAGCTGATCACACTGTGTGATAAAAGGGAGTGTTAAAAAAAACTGCTGTTCTTCAGTAAACATTGGAAAAGAAGGCTGAAGATTAATTCAAACAGCTTGGAAAACTGAAACAAGAGAAACGAGCTGAATATTTCCAAATATGGGCTACCTTACTCCAGTATCAAGCCAGGAGAACCTTGGGGCATGCGAGCCAACTGAGCTGTAACTCCCTGGATAACAAGGCCTTAATTAAAAGCTAAATTGCACATACATAAAAAAACCCACAGGGCTCACTTCAGCCACAGAGGTCATGAAATCACAGGCAATCATATGACAAACATTAATCCAAAATGGTCCAGGGAACAACGGCTCTGCACACACTCACTCAACACAAGCCACAAAAACACTTCACAAAAACGCCATAACGAGCTTAAGGCTTTTAGTACAAATAAATAAAGCCACAAATAGTAACACCAAAGGAAGAGAGAAAAGGAACCACCAAGGGCTCTGGTCTTCTGTAGCAGGAATTTGTTCAGTGAAAATGCCAAATTAATTCTAAGAGACAGATTATATCCAGTGGTCCCCCTGCCCCCAACGCCTTGCTTCCCCACTTCACTCCCCCAACAGATCCTGCTAATCTGATCTGGAGAAAAAAAAGTCTTCCCCACTCCAAATCTGGCACTCATTTTACCCTCACATATAATCAAAACATGCCAACCGGCACTTGAGATGTTTTTCTTTAATACCATTAGGAGCAATAACATACCATGTTCAACATCCCATCTCCAGCTGCTTCGGAGAAAAGCAAAAAACCCCAACTCAGACACCAAACTATGCACAGGGGGCACAGGGAGAGGAATAATTAGCTGATTTATGTAGTTCCCACATTCAGCTCTGGGTTTTATTCAGCATCGTGTGTTCGATGGTCCTGACTCCAACCACCTTGAGCAGCAGATCTCCCCACATGTGCCGTGGCACGGAGGAGGAGCGCAGATGGTCCCGTGTTGCTGATGGATCCAGGAGGTCAGTGCAGGGTGATTTATCTCTCGGAGCACAGCAGACCCTGGGGCTCAGCTGGTGTAATTTGGGGGCATCCCAGTTACCACCATGGACATCTGCTGAGGATCTGCTCCTCTGTTTATCTATGGGGTTTTTTTTGCCATTAAAGATGAGCAGCTTGCAAGAACAGCAGTATGAAAAACCTATAAAAGAGAGAACATTTATATAGGGCAAACCAGGTGCATCGTCCCTGTTGGTGTGTGCTGCCTTTCGGTGAGAAGTGACATCCCCATGTTGGCAGCAATGACCCACCAATAGCATGTTATAACGCCCAGCTTACCCTTGCTGACTCTGGACTGCTAATTTTGACTCAAAAATACCATTTAATGAACTTTCTTTTCCTTCTCATTTCGGCTGGAGGCCTGTAAGGCCTTTTCATTTGGAAGAGACCCCAACCCAAAGCTCAGAGTGGTGCTTGGAGATGGTGGGGTTGCCCACAGCAGGACTCATCTTAGAAGGTTCCCTGTGCTTACAGGTCCTTTGCCCAGGTTAAATACAGCCTTCCCCGATGGTTCCCTGCACCTCCCAGGTGTGACATGGAGTGACAAGCTCTTATCCCAAGAGACAAGGAAATGAAGAGTCTCGTGAGAAGGAGTGGTTCCAAGCAACTCCATGTACAACTTCTGCGTGCAGGAGGGAACATGTCAGGATTACACACACAAAGAAAAAAAGATAATCAGATTTTGCCAAAAATTCCTGAGCTTCACTGGGTGGAAGGCCAGAGCCTTGCTGAGAGCAGGAAACAAGCATGTGGATGTACTCTTGAAATAAACAATGTCCTCTGGAATAGACCACAAAACAATACAATCAAACACAGTCTTGCCAGCAGAAATACACTTGGGACAATGCTTCCCAAGCCTCCCCTCCTCACCCACCACCATGTGCACGATGTGGATGTGGGTTTTTTGTTCTGCTTACTGAGGTAGGAAGAAAGCAGCCCCAGCAGCATCACTCTTAGGGCCGGATCTGGAGGCAGCACCAAGCAAGACAGCTGGATTTTCATCTGAGGGTCCAACCAGCAGGGATGTGGTCACACAGCTGTAAGTGAAGAAGCTGTAGCTATAAATGACTGTTGTTCTCCATCTCCTGACGTCAAGGGAAGCTTTGCTGGTGAGCCCTGCCAAGCGCCGAGCTCCAGAGAAGCTCTCCCACCCCACGCAGCCCCCACGCACCCAACGTGAGATCGCAGCCGTCTCCCTCTCAGCCGGGTGCTGGCACGCCTCCGCCCCCCGGCCCCGAGCTGCCGTGGTGGGGAGGATGCTGCCAAAAGCTGCTTGCCCAAAAAGCCACTTTCCATCAGCAGCACCTAGTGCTGGACCCCAAAGAGATGGAGGGGTGGTGGTGTGTGTTCAGGGGACCCCAGGGCGGGAGCCTTGCAAGTTGCCCAGACCCATGGCAGTGGATGAAGAGGAACCATCTCACCACCAGCTTCACCCTCTCATATTCTGAATCAATTCCTGGTTGTGAGTTGCTGCTGCTCTTTATTTCTGTTACTGAGAAGGGATATGACACTGCATTGCTCCCTTTCGCAGGGAGAGACAATAGATCTTTGTGTCTCTTCCAGGAAGAAGAAAAAAAAAAAAAAAAAAAAAAATTTCCTTCTGCAAATAGTCAGGACTGAACTGGAGAAAAGGTGACAGCAGGAGAAGCAGGTAGCCCTCCTGCAGCTGAGCTGCGGGATTAAAAAAAATGCCATTCCCAGCATATCCTTAAACAAACCCACAAGAGAAGCCAAAGCCGCCCCAAACTTTCCCCTTCAGCCTGTAATTTTCAGACAACAAACCGATCCTTTCACTTTTCTAAAGGAGCGAAGAGAAAGGCAGAGAACTGGAAAAACCCTTTATTGAAATATCAGCTGTTCCTCCTCATTCCCACCCCCAGTTCTGTTTTTTGACAAGTTAAAGTGAGGCCATAACTTATTCTGCTTTGTTCAACAGGGCTAATCACACGTGACTCTAATCACTCATGATGTTTTATTGATTTTAAGCACATTTAATCAGAAATTGGCTCTGAGTTAGATTCCTGCTAATTACTGAGAAGCAGCATTTTGAATGACTTCACAATTGGACTGCAGATTAGAATGGACAATATGTACTAAAATAATGATTCATGCATTCAGCTCCCTGGATTTATTTTGTTTATATTGGATTTTTTAATCTTTAAAGACATAATTCTGCATATGGGCAAGCAGCATTTAAAACCCTTAACAAAATGGGTTTAATTTAACAGGCTAGGCTTTAGCCAGAGATGGGATATGTGGGGAAGAGCTTTATCCCCTGCAAATGTAATTCTTTCTCTGAAGGTCACTGGAAGTGCCTTGCCCAGGGTGATGCCACACATGGGTGGTTGTGGCACCGCCGGGAGGTGGAAGGCCACTGCGTGGGGCCCCTTTAGCATCCCCACTCTGCACCTGGCTCATGTTTCTGGTGAGAGTACAGATGGGCAGATGTGTGTGCTGCTCTTTGAAGCATCAGGCACCCACACTGAATCCATCAATTCTTCTGCCCTGAAATCAGGGCGAGCTTTTCTGATGCAGTCTCTGCACTGTCCTTACTCCCATCACCAAACCCTCCTGAAAAAGCAAATGGCTTGTTAAGGTAAGGGGACCCCCATCTCTGAGAGGGGCCCATGGTGAGCCAGTTCAGCCACCACCAGCCACATCACCACTCTGGAATGAATCTTTCAACAACAGAGGGTTAAAGAGTTTGTATTTCCGTGTTTCTAGACCTAAAACCCACCTTCTCATTGGAAATCAGATTGTTATTGATCACAGCCTGGTAACAGATTTTTATGTTTCAGTAGCCACTGGGGTCTCCTCTCCATCAGTGCCTAGGCTGGAGATCTGTGGCAAAGGGACTGCAAATACTCCAGTGACATGGTCTGTTCTCAGAAGCAGCTGTGGCTGAGTATGAACCATTTTTCAGCTATGCAAAACTTCCTCTGCCCCCTGGAAAACACTGATCCATGAACAAGAGGAAAGCCAGAGACTGGCAGAGAGGCCAGGCTAGAGACTACCAGGTATTTGAACTGGTAGAAAACTTTCTTTCTAAATGAAAACAGAAACTTTCCATTTCCATCTATGCTGCTCTTTTTTTTTTTTTTTTTTTTTTTTCCCCAACACAGCTCTACTAGGAATACTTACAGCAATCTTGCCAGCCAATTGCTTTCATACAAAAACAAGCCTAAATTCAGAATGATGCACAGAATACTCTGCAATAACCAGTGTCTAAAAAGCAACAGATCTGAAGTCTCCTGTTCTGCTCCCACTCCTTTCTGCAGGTCCATGACACTACGATTCAGTGGGTGGAACTCGCTCACGAACGATGTGAAACCTCAGTTTCACAGCAAGCTGGGAAATTCACCCCAGAATCACCACTGGCCTCCCAAGGAACCAGCCTGCAGAGCTGTACTAATTCATCTATCGTTGAGAGGTGGTGGAGATTTTTAGTCTTTGAGTACTGTCGCACTCCTCGGATATAATATAGCGACACTCTACCCTTCATGTAGAACTCAAATAATAGTAAATCCAGCGTGTAATTCTGACTCCTTCATGCTTCTCCACATCCCCACAACCCTCCCCATTCCCCACTGTGGCATTTTATTATCACTGCAGAACAGGATGTAGAGGCAAAGGGAACTCTCACTTTGGTATAACTTCACAGGTTCTAAAAAGGAAACATCTCTTTCAGTTGGGTCCCTTTAACTTTTTTCCCTTTCCTTCTTTTTTTCATTTGTTCATTCATTTTTTCATTCCTTCTTATGTTCTTTCTGTTGTCTTTCGTTCTTTCTTTGCATAAAAATACAGATTTCAAATACATTCTGCAAAACCAAGTGTCTGCCCTATCCATGTTACTTGACATGTCATTGTCTGCAACAGCGCCAAGGGTTGCAGAAGTGGTATGTGTGGTGATGTGGTCAGACTGTGCCCTGGCCATGCAACTTTGTACCTCTTAAAACTGAGCAAAGCCCTGAGGAATACTTGACTTCTTTCTGAGAAGTCAAGGTCAGCTTTTCTATTTTCAATTCCTCCATATATCCCTTCAAATTTGGCCTTAAGGTCTTTACCAGGTCTTCAGAAGACAAAAACCTAGAAAGGTGAAGTGTAGGCAACACCAGTTCACCTCACTTTGAGAGGAGCTGCAGAGAGGAAGGCACTGGGTCCCAGGATGCACAGTCTCAACGTACCCTGTGGTACGTGGCCCTGTGGAGGTCCCTGGCCTGAGCCCCGGCTTGCCTGTACTGACATTGCTCCCAAGCATAATGCAGTGCTGCCTGGGCAGCAGGACATGGATAACAGGAGGAAAAACCCCTCTGATCTGATGTTCACTAAATCATGACTCACCTACAAGGACGATGTGGTACACTGCGATGACAAAACATCCGTCAGGACATGGAAGGCTAAAGATCCAAGCACCCACTGAGGGCACCCACCTCCCTCCACCAATGGCAGAGACAGTGCTTGGGAAACAGCGTCTCTGAACTGCAGTCAGTCATCAGGACTAGCCCTAGGAGAACCAAGACGTGCCCTCTCTACACCTCCCTAGGGTATTGTCCGTATACCCCTGGGGAAGGCAGAGAAGAAAGCCCTGGAATAGGAGCCAGATCTGTTGTTACTGTGTGGCAGTACACGTCTGTCCTCAAAATGCCAGGACAAACCTTCTCCCGACATGAGATGAGGCTTGAAGAGGAAGGTCACCTACTAACAAAAAGTGATAAATGAGGAACAGAGAGAGGATCGAACCTCTGAAACATTCTTTCTTACGAAAGCTGCGCGAAGGGGATTCTGCATCAATTATAAAACTCACCGCGTCCAGCATTACCAGATGTAGGTGTTCACAGCCCTGAGGCATGTTGCTTTAGCAGTTTTCTGAATGGCCATGAGCGACACAAAAGCAAATCTGCCTTCTTCCACTCACTGGTTGACTCCAACTTCAGAGTCTTCAGTGAAAAGTACAGGCTTGAAATTATTCTGAAGTTACGGCACCTACAAGACTCTTACCAGATGGAAACCTGAAAAAAGATTACTTCTCAGATGCATTGCTCATTTGTTCAGAGTAATTAGTAGATGTAAAACCAAAAATAGGCCTTTTTCCTTTGATCCTCTCCAGTTGGATTCTGTGCGTGACGACCCAGAGCACATGTCTCAATATTCTGCACTGAAATTGCTGCAGTTTTCATTCAAAACCCAACCAGCGTTTCACATCTCACCTACGAAAATGCAAATTAAGATAAGCCCCATCGAAGGACACTGGTGAGCATCAACCTATCCAAACCCCTCACATTTTGCATCCTCCTGGGGAAAAGAAATCACACGTAGGCTCACTTACAAAATTTGGAGTGTCCCAATGATGATCTTGTGCTGTTTTCCTCTGGTTATTTAATCATCTGTTGAAAATACGCCCTGAAGTGAGCAGCTATGGTCCTTGCAGTCTCCTGTAGTCAGTGGCAGACCTTTCTTTGACACCACTAGCTTTGGGATTAGCCCTTTATATATAGCCTAAGGCAAAGGGTGAGGAAGAAGAGTGGTTTCCAGGACATGCGGATAAAGAGTGGAGCAGATGGGGCCAGGGCAGAGCTTGGCAACAGACACGTGTGTGTGTGTGAGAGCCGAGGGGAGATCTGGCAGCAGGAGCTCGGGGGATGCTGGGGATGGGCTATATCAGGAATACTCAATGCTACCAAAATGACCCAAAAGACACAGGCTCCTGCAGCTCAGTTGATTGCTCTAAAAAAAAAAAAAAAGATGCCATCCTCTTACAGCGCAGAGCTGGCTGAGCACACACGTGCCGGCCATCCTGCTCAAATAGTCCCGAGTGAGAGCTGCCCCTCTTCCCCTCTGGGCAGCTCCAGCAGCTTGACGTGGGCACCCGCCCCCCGGGGAGGTGCCAAGAGGTGGGATCCAGTGCCTGAAGTCTTCTCTGCAGGTTTCTGGCAAGGCTAAATGAAAGGAAGACCACATGAACCCATTTCCCATCAACACCTGGAAAGACTTGTCCTCCTCGGGTGGCTTTGCTGCCCTTCAATGTGTAAATGTCAAACCAAGAGCTGGACTGGCCAGGACTAAAATGGAGAATGGGAAAGCTGGGACTCCCACTGCTGTACGACTCTCTTGGCTTGTAGCAAAGCTTCAGCACAAAAATACGGTCCCACATACAACCAGCAGCAAACATTTCATCTACCCTAGCAGCGAGCCAGGCAGCAGCCGGCAGAGCTGCTCGCACCACACCGGTGGGGGCATGGTTGTGTTTCCAGCTGTACTTTTAACAAGCCTCAATCTTTATGCTGAGCATTACATTGACATCCTGCATTAGAGATTAGGGTAATACTGTACATTATTTCCAGCAAGGGATTCATTAAATCTCAACTTTTCTGAGAGGCAACTGGTATAAAGGAAGCCATTCATTTCAGTGAGATCCAAATTAACAGGCTTCTCATTTGTTTCTAAACTTGCTCCATGGTGGAGTGAAATGTAAGCTGGGAACTGCCTCTTGCAAATGTTTTAAAATACCTAATAATAATATAGATGAGCTACCTCCAAAGGTGCTGTGTGCCAAACCCTACTCCTTCCTCTCCAGGTCCCGCTGTAGGCTGTCCTCCCCACAACCAGATGGCTGCCACTACCAAAACAGCCCTTCCTCTGCCCTAGAGTTGGTCCCAAATGCGACAGCAATGTCTCACGCAGCAGCTTGCCCATCTGACCTCTGCAGTTCCTGATGTCCCTCGGGCTGGAGGGAAGCAGCGTGAAGCCCGTGGCACCATGCCAGGAGTAAAGGAAAGCCCTGTTTGAGGCTTAGCAGGGTGAGGGGAGACAAGGCGGGAGAGGACCGTGTGTTTTACTCCAACTGGCTGTAAACTGGGGGTGTGGAGGAGACCCAGCAAGGATGGGGATGGGGCAGCAGGGCCAATGTGTCCTGGAGATGTGAAGTGGGAGGCCCCCAATGGGGTCTTCAGCGGGATTTTTTCCCAGGAAAATGGGACAGCTGTTATTGGAAAGCCCCAAGGCTGAGCAAAACATGGGCTTCACTAGGACTCTTCACCGGCAAAACTTCTCACTAACTTACAGGTTGTCGTCCCTTGTCCAAGAGCTCATGGTCATGCGCACGTGGCTACAGAGAGACTTGGGGATCTCTGTGCTGTGCACCACAACATGGCATTTTCCATGGCTTCTTGACTTTTCCTGGGGTGGCTAAAACAGCTGGGGCTGCCTGTAGCTGCTCACTTCACCTTCTCAAAATCTGCTGTTTCTTGTTTGGGCTTGTTTAAACTCACTTTCTTCCTGTTCACTTTTATTCTGCTTTTCATCATCAAAGTCCTGATTGGGCCGATGAGGGCTTCTGAGACCTGGAGGGTTTCCACGGGTCTGGCTTGTATTAAAGGGGGGCAATTTCCCAACTGCCGGCTGAGTTTCAACATTCCCGCTTTTCCTTGCCTTGCTGAGGAAAACCAGGAGCACACATGCAGCCTCCTGCAAAGACTGACTCCGTTTCCAGCAGGATGAAACCACGGTGGGGAAAATTTGACCAGAGCAACAAGGTGGGCTGGACTGGAGAGCTGCTGCTGGCATGCCTGGAGCTGAGATTTTCAGCCTGATGATCACTTGTGCAGCCCCGTGCTTGTAACCTTGCAGCCATCCCTCCTTGCAATCCCTGTGTTCACAATCTTGCAACAATTCCTCCTTGCAGATGACTTGCACAGCAGGGCTCTTGCACAGCCCTGCCTCACCAAGCTGAATTAAGGCCTGGAGGTTTTTTTACCTGGGGATGAACACTGATGGGACAGGTTAAAATGAATTTGAGAGCAGAGTTTTTGACAGACTTTTATAAATTGTAGGTGCAAGGTGTGTCCAGAGGACTAAACTTCATTGTAGTTTTCACAAACAATACACCTTTGTGTAAGCAGAAACAGTAACGTAGGTTGAAGTAAGTGACCATACTCAAACCAGTACCAGTGTCGTGATGACATTGTAATAAACATCATAAATCTGGTTTTTGCCCTTCACGGTCTTAGTAAACAACAAACAAATCAAAGAAGTAAACTGATGTCAAAACCAATCGAATTTTCAAAAAAAAAGAGAATTGCATAGACAGAGGCATGCCGTATATCCTACTCTAAATAACGGCCCTAGTGTCTTTCATCACTTGGAGGAGGGTTTGCTCCTGGTCCTTTCCACAGATCTGGATCTGACCCATACCCACCTGTGTATTTTCCAAAGCAAAATCCATCAGGCAATGACCTCCAGCGCTTCCAGGTCGGTGTAACACCGGAGAGTGAGCGACGTGGCCACGGACGGGGCCCACGCGTGGACAGCAATGCCAAAGGCAGCACTGCACCCTGCAAGTGCACAAGTCATTGAACTCCCACCATCTCTCCCTCCCCAGCTTCACTGCTACAGGCCCGGCTACGCAATATTAATTACAATTACCCATCCACCTCATGTCCAGTGGATATTACCTTTTAATAGGTGCCATCGTGCGATGAAGCACCGGCGGAGCGAGGCAGGCGTTCTGCAGTGCCAGCAATTTTTGCAGAAAACCACGAGATGGCGATGCAATAGAAATTTCCATCGAGAGAAAAAACACTTTGGGGTTACAGAGGAAGGCCTGAACCCTCTGGCTGCTGAACCCTCCACCAGAAAACACAACACACAGAAGTGTGGAAAATTTTACCTTATTTTCCTTCTTTTTTTGGGGGGGCATGCATATGCTGGTTCTGCATTTATTGTGTATTATTATAGATCTGAAGCATAGCACTTTTTTTTTTTTTTTTTTAATTAAAT